CGAAAGTGCTCTCATCAATTCCACACCATCTTCACTGCCGAATCCAGGGGACACCTCTCTGCCCCATCTGACCAGTGTCTCGGCACCACTTGACACTCTGGATCATTCCTTCCCACTTAAAGCTCTGTTCTCTTCGCCCCCAGGATGCCTCTACCCTGGCTGGCTCTTTCCCTGGTCTCTGAAGATGACTTTCTCTGTTCCTTTGGATTCCATGATAATCTCATCTGCTGGACCTTGTCCTGACTGCTTCAGTGTGGCTGCCTTAAGGGGGGATTTATGGAGTGAGGCAGAAAGCATGGCTCTGAAACATGCTCGGCAGGTTGAGGCCCGTGGAGTCGCCAGAGCTTTGGAAGTGTGGGGTCTCTGGATAGCAGTTGACATGGGAAGGAGAGCTTGACACTGCATTTGTAGAGCCCCTGACGTAAGACTGAGGACATTTCATGTCAATATCAAAGAATGAGGGGTGGTAGAGATCACGGGGCACAGAGCCAAAGCCTCCCAAACCACCCTTCAGCCCTGTCTGTAATTTTAAACTGATGGCTGAGGCCTTCTGGATAAATTCGGAGGCACAACTAAGTAATCTGTGGCTGATGGAGGCACAGGAATTAATAACTCCACTCATTTAGCTGTACTTACTTCAAGTGTCGTTGAGAACATCAACCTCACAAAAGGACCTTCGGACCCTGTGTTGGCTCATTTGATGCGTCAAATTGGGTAGGCCATAGTGCAGAGGTGTTTAGTCAAACACTAATCTAGATATTTCTGTGAAAGTATTTTGTTTATGTGATTAACATTGAAATCAGCAGACTCTGAGTAAAGCAGGTTGCTCTCCAAATGTGGGTGGGCCTCATCCGATCAGTTGAAGGTCTTAAGAGCAAAGACTGAGGTCCCCTCAAAAACGAAGGAACTCTACTCCAGACTCTGACTTCAGACTCAGGTCAGGACTGCTACGTGCTGGAATTTCCAGTCTGCTGGCTGACCTGCAAACTCCAGACTTGTTCACAATTGTGTGAGCCAATTCCTTAAACGAAAGCCCCCTTTGTCTTTCTCTCTTTCTGTCTGTACCCACAGACACCCTCTATGGGTTCTGTTTCTCTGGAGAACTCCGACCTGGTATCTTTGGTAGACATTCTGGTCCCCCCATTATGTCCATGCCTTAATCCCTGAACCTGTGAATATGTGATGTTACATGGCAAGGGGGGGAATTTGCAGATATAACTAAGGTTACAGACCTTAGGCTGGGGGGAGTATCCTGTATCATTCAGGTGGGTCCTGTTTAATCACATGAGTTCTCAAAAGCAGAGAACTTTCTCTGGCCAGCAGCAAAAGAGATGCTTCAGGAGGGGAAGCCAGAGAGGTCAGAGAATAAGAAGGGCTCGACCCACCACTGCTGGAAGGGGCCACATGGAAAGCACAAAAAGGAATGAAGGCAGCCTGTGGGAGCTGAATGAGCTGGATTCTTCCCCAGGGCCTCCAGAAAAGAGCCCAGCCCTGCCAACACCTTGATTTCAACCTTGTGATACCCTAAGCAGAGGACCCAATTGAGCCCACCGGGACTTCTGACCTACAGAAACTTCGAGAAAGTAGATGTGTGTGGTTTAAGCTGCTAAGTTTGTGGTAATTTCTTATGGCAGCAATAGAAAATGAATTCAGTGCCTAATACTGTGTTGAGAAAAGTCTTGAAACATACATGTAGACCAGCCAACATTTTTAAATGTGGCTAGATGGTGCTTCTGGAATGAATGGGGTTAATGCTGGATTTGTTACAAACCTGGATCCGAGGCAGCAATGTTTTGCAAGGACACACAGAACCTAAGTCCATCTGTTGCCACATTTATCAGGAATTGCTTTGGGCTAAACAGCACAATAATAGACACAAAAATGAACACCACGAACTGAACACACTCCCAGGGCTGGAGCCACAGACGGCACCAGGCTTTGCTTTATGATGCAGACAGCCTCTACTGTTGCCTACAAAGACTGGATCAAAATCTTACTGTTTTAAATTGCCATTAGGACCCCTCCAAACAACGGGACCATTTCTCTGCAGGGGCATTCATGTGTTGTCCCACAGAAGATGAGATTTGCTCATTCCTAGCAAAATGATCTTTTTGAGAAACTCATTTGTTAAGGAATCCTCAGGCTCACTTTCATTTGCTTGATTCCTTTTCCAGAAATGAAAGTGGTAGCCTCATCCATAGTTACCAAATTGTGGAGCTGAGGATTAAATTTCAAAGAGTTTCTCTGTTTTCAAACTTTATGAAAATGTACCAACTCTTTTGTTACCTCTCTCTCTTGAGCTCTAGACCCCTGTGACCAACAGTCTATTGGACATCTCCACCTGGATAACCCATCGGCACCTGTCAAGGCCACATGCATCATTGTGCAGGTCGTGCAGGGCACAAGGGGGTCACACCCAAGGGGGACCATGCATGGACTCCTGGCTGCGTGTGGAAGGAAGCTGATGGGGGTGGGGGCGTGAGCCAGACAGCAAGAGCAGTGTTTGGGCACTCTACTGCTGCACCAAAAAGCATCTCAAAACCTCGTGGCTCAAAACACCACTTTATTTCTCAAAAATCTGTGGTTCAACAGAATGAGTCTCCAGCTTCACTGGATGTTCGCTGGACCGCTGGGATGGCTAGAGGGCCTGAAATGTCCTCACTCACATGGCTGGCAGCTCGTGCTGGCTGCTGGCTGGGGAACTCAGCTGGGGCTGTTGGCTGGGAGCTTTGGTTCTCTTCCACGTGGGCCTTTGTGGCTGGTTGGGTTTCCTCACAGCGTGGCCGCCGAGTTCCAAGAAAGAGCATTCCCAGAATCCGGGGCAGAAGCTGCAGCTCCCTGAAGGCCAAGCCCTGGAAGTTACATAGCGCCCCTTCTGCCATGTTCTATTGGTCCAGGGAGGTTATGGGAGGGGACATAGATTCTACCTTCTGATATAGGAGTGGAAAGGTCATGTTGCAAAAGAGCCTGTGGAATGGGGGATATTATTGCAGCTGTCTTTGGAGACGCAGTCTACCACACGAGGGACTGTACAATAGCATTTCTCCAAGTGCGCTGAGCCCTGCCTGTACCAGAATCCGGCACAGAGTGCGAACTTCTTGAAGTCTAACCTAACAGATGCTCCATGTCTTGGCCCTGTTGGCTTCTAGTTGACCTTCTCACTCGCCTTGTCTGACTTTATGCTCCAGCCATAGGAGATCTCTTAGAGTTCACCTGCGCATAATCTGTTTAACCAACTCCACACCGTCGTCCATAACTGTTCCTTCTGCCTTCAGCAACTTGAAGATTCAGCTTTGCATGTACTTTCCTCGGAAGCCTTCCAAACCCCTTTCCTCCCACAGTCCTGTGGGCTTTGCTGCCACCATGGCACTCACCAGCAGGTAATGTCACTTGACTGTGAACTTCTTAGGCAGCAATATGTCTGATTGCTTCTCTGTCCCAGAAGTCCTATGTTTGCTTAATGGAATTGAAAGTCTAACAGTGTCACAGTGAATTCCTCAATGGCCTAATCCTCCTTGAAGAATACAGTACTGAACATGTTTAAAGTTTCTGACACATCTCAGGGCAGCTAGGATGCTTGCATACAGTTCTGGAGGCTGGAAAGTCCAAGACTGACGTTCAGTTCTTGGTGAGAGCCCTCTTCCTGGCTCACCCACAGCTGTCTCTCACTGTGTCCTCGGGCCTTTCCACAGTGCTTGCTCATGGAGAGAGTGAGACCAAGCTCTCGGGTGTCTCTTCTTAGGAGAGCGATAATCTCATCATGCCAGGGCCCCATCTTTATGACCTAATCACCCCCAAAGGCCTCATCTCCAAATACCATCAGCTGAGGGTTAGGGCTTCAACACAATGAATGGGGTTTGTGTGTGTGGACAGAAACATTCAGTCTGTTAACAGTGGATTAAACATTTAAAACCAGAGCCTGTAGGAGATGAGTCTCCCAGGGTGTCTGGAGATCTTCCCATTCTTCCTCCCAGCCTCCTCACCTTGTCACCCTTTTACCCCAGGCTCCCCCAACCCCTTGGGTGTACGATGGCTGCGGGGCTTCCGGGCATCACATCCTCATCCTCAAGGTTCAGTTCGAAGTTATTAAGCTGGTGAAGCAGGATGGGTCTGAGATGGGAGTGGGCATCTCCCCGTCTACAGGTCTGCATTTTTTTTTTTTTTTTTTAAATCAGGGTCATAGCTCCGCTGTCTGTACCCAGAGAAATCACAACAAAGGGCTTAGTCATGATTGCCATCCCCACCCCTAACAAAATCAGGGGTGAGTTGAGAGGGGATGAGCCTTTATCATCAGATATTGGCTGGATTTCCATAGCAACAGAAGTTAAATGTTACTCTTAATATAAACCAGGGGCGGAAGTTCCGAGGGCGGCACCAGAACACTCGGTGGCCCCACAGATGGCGGGGAGGTGGGTTTGTGGGAGGGAGGAAAGAAGGGCGTGGGGAGAAGTTGCTAAAATGTCTGCGGTTGCTCGTGCTTTGAGACCACAAGACCATGGACGCCCAGGGGCCTGGGCTGCCCTCACCTCAAAACTTCCCTGGGAAGGAAAACCGAGGGGAAACAAATCGTTTTTAAGTCCTGAATGTCCCCCAACTTTTTTGCAGCCCGGCACCTCCCCGGCCACTCGGGCGCGTTCCCGCGCGCAGCCGGGGACAACGGGCCGTCGCGGGCTCCCGGCGCGGGCGGCTTGGGCCCAGGTGGGGATTCCGCGGACGGGGGCGCGGCCGGCCCCGCGCGCCGCTCCCCGCCCCCGGCCCCGCGCGCGGCCTTGTG